TGTAATGTATTTATTGTTAATTAATGCACTATGGGAGTCCCCCAACTCCCCCTTCAGCCATCTGTATAAATTGATCCCCTCCTTTACATATGTTCTGCCCATAGGGGTTTCTGTAGCCCTAGGGCAGCAATATCCCCTGTGCCTTTGCAACAGGGTGAGGGAAGGAGACCACGAGTTCCCTATTTATGTGATTTGCAAGAAGTATTTTCATTACTCAGGGTACCAAATATGTTTAAATGATATAAGTGCCTTGTAAAATCCCAAAGCAAGCTCATTTTCATTTCTCATGTAATAATCTCATACTGTATACACATATTTTTTTCATTAATTATTAGTTGAATTTATTATTATTTATTAGCTAGCTAGGTTACTGTATATTTTCAGCGTGGAAAATTATGTGTGCTATTTTATGGGTTGAATGACTGAATGACATAACCCCACCCCCACCCCTCCCAAATGTCTGAGTCCGGTAATTTTGTCAAGTGTCTGTCATGCAACATGGTGGTGCCTACCCCTGCTTATTAATGTAACCAAAACTGCAGATTGAACCAAATTGGCTTAACTGTATTCCTTTTTTTTTTTCCCTTTTACTACTGTTAAATCCTCTGAAAACTTGTTTTTATCCATTACTAACCTAATCAGTCTTCTAGTTATAGTGGTATAGAATAGGAATATTGAGGGTTATTTTTTTTCTTTTAATTGTATAATGTTTTATATTTCATGCAGTGGAGAGTGTTAAAATATTCCTCTGAGGTCTATATTGAGAGAGAATATCATTGCATAATCTGCTTTAAAAAAAAATCTGGCAGGGAATCAAGAAAAATCTGTATTATCAAATCCTTTCCTATATGAAGGGACCTCACAGCTCCAAGACAGACCTCACTTTCCCTTTATAACTCTCTTCTGTGAATTGCTCTTGTCAGTAACTGCCTTTCATGAAAAGCTTTGTCATGATAGCATCCTTCCAACAGGGAATGAAAATAGCTCTCCTTTTGGAGCCCTGATTCCTACTTGAATTGGAGTGTAACATCACGGAGCACACAATTCGCTCTATGATACCCCCACTTTCTGTTCACCATAGGAAGAAATAGACCCTCTACCTGCACTAGAGATCTTTTGAAATCACACATAGTGATGTAACTGAAGCCCTATGTTTCTTTGTCTGGAACTAGCATTGGTATGTGTGACCCTAGTGCAGAGGCTGGGAATCAACTTTTTAAATACCCTGATGGATAGTATAGACCTTGTATAACCTTTTTTCTAGTTCATCGTCAATTTCTCTGTCAAAGCAAATGGCAATTAAATGTCTTTGCTGATAAACTTAAATTAAAAAAAAATCATGAAGTACGTAACATGCTGGCAGTATTTACCTGAAACTTCCCACCTCGTTAGCAGGTATTGATGCTGCTAGGAAAGGGTTAAGTGAGTGCTGTTGACTTTGACATAGATGACTCAATACCATTACCTGGGCAGAAAGAAAGGGGGAAGGGAGAATCTAGATGTGAGTTGAATAGTCCTCAGGGAGGAACCCTAGGATGAGCCACGCCTGGGAAAAAGGTGTGAGTTGAGTTTTGGTTATAACAAACAAATGTACAAAAATACAACACCCACCAGGAAGAGCTGGTGTTTGGACTTCACGTTCATTGTTTGTATAGGTATTGGAAAAGGCATCTGATGACATAGTAGTGCAGCAAAAAGCAATTTTAAAATGGCAATTTTATAACATTGGTTCCAACTTTTGTAGTTAGGCTGAACTAGAACATGACAGGGTTATAGTGTCACTTCAGTTATGTCAAGTATGATATGATAATGTGCAAGTTTGCACATATACTATCTGTCCCATAGTTTTAAAGCGCAAGTTAATCATACAAACTGCTTCCCTGATTGTCTTTAAAAGTCTGAACTGGATCCTTGGGGTCGGTGATGAACTGTGATCTTGAACACATTATTTAAACTTCCTACTCTGTCTGCCACGCAAAGACAATAGGAAATCTTGAAACCATAAATCTGTGTCGTTCTTGTCAGTGTAAAATATGAATCTCAATGTTTGAAGACTATTAAGATTGTTTTTAACTATATCTGAAAATATGTATCTTTTTATTGTAGGTAAAATGAAAGGACTTGCATTTATTCAGGATCCTGATGGCTACTGGATTGAAATTTTGAATCCTAACCACATGGTGACCCTCATCTAGTTTTAAAGTAACATACCATACAGTAGGTACAAGTCTTTCCCAGGAGGCTGAAAACATATAACACACTCTACTATTTATGAGACATATACTTGATTGAGAGGAATTAACCTCACTCACAAATAGTTCTTTACCAATCCTGTTAGAACCTCATCTTGCTTGGATTCCCCTTTGTATTCTTCTTTTGTTTTCTTTTTTGTGATGCCACTGCTTCCTGTTTCTAATTAGGAGAGCATAATACCATCTGTGTTCTGAAAATGCACTCATGCACATTCACCATTTATGCAAAAAATAGGATATTCTCCCCTTCGGGGCTGATTTGAGTTAGTGAAATTTTGGCTGCACAATATAGCTATGTTTGAACCAGCCTGAGAATTGGTATATTGGGGGTGGAATATGTGAGTAGGAAGATTGCTGTATCTTATGTCGTGTAGGTCTAGCACCAGCGACAGGTTTTTTGTTTGTTAAACTTGGGGAGGGGATAAAACACTTTAAACTAGACTTTTGGGCTACATCTTGCTTACACTGAAGTCAATGGCAAAATTCCTTTGGTCTTCAATGGAAGCAGGATTGAGACCTTTGTGTGTACAGTTATGTCAGTAGACATTCAGGAGCAACTTGTAGGTATTCAGGCTGCTTGAAACTAGAAACTTAATGGCAGTGGCACATCGAGTCCAACAGAGAGAGAGTTCAGTCTGCATTGCATTTGAGCAGCTATGACTGTTGACTGCAAATAAGCAGAGGAGGTCAGCAGACTTGCCACTTGCTCTCAACAGTGGGCATCTAAGAGGACAGAATCTGAACATCTATTTTGAAAATCAAGGGCTATACAGCAATTAGCTTACAACTAAGAAGTAGCTGAAAATGCCATGATTCCTTATTCAGTGGCTGAGAGCTGGCAGACATACTTATCCCTTATCTGTGATTGTGTGTGATGACTGGGCTTCTGCTAAATATAGTGCATTTAAACCATATCTTTTATATCAAGCTACAATTTGATACAGGAGTTTGGTTAACTAAAATCCTAGTAGTTTGTGAAACCATGACTACCTGCTGTTATGACAACTTTTTATCTGCCTTTTTAAAAATATAAAAAGTAGTAGTTGCAGTTACACTGAAGTTGTACATGTGAACCAGTTTCATGTTAAAGTGTTTCAGTAGCACTGAAATACTCACTTTACCGTCCCCCCGCCTCCACCAAAAAAACAAAACCCATAACAAAACCATCTTGGTATTTAGTGCGTTTCTAGAAGCACTTTATAATTCCTGTTGGGACTGAACAGTGCTGAGTGATGTGACTGTTATATTGGATAGCCCTGTGGCATCAAATAAACGTATTTATTTCCAAATAAAGTGTCTGCAAAACTTTGAAAATTCTTCTCTAAAGCTGTATGACCTACAGTACTTTACTACCCACTAAGGCCATGTCTACACTACAAAGTTAAGTCGACAAGTTACGTCAATGATCATCCACCACTGTAATTAAACCACTTTTGCGCATCCACACAGTGCTTCTTGTGATGGCAGATCGCGTCCATATTTGGTGCTCTTACATTGACAGAGCAGTGCACCATGGGTACCTATCCCACTATGCAACTTGCCACCATCTGCTGGTGTGTGTTCTGAGAGGGGCTTGCAGTGCCTCCTGGGGATGGGCTCACTGTCCCATGATGCAGTTTTCTCTGTCCCATCATTTCATGGGCTTATGAATACGTTTCATGGTGCTTTTCAACAACCCCTATAAACTGTGCCTACCATCTCTGTCTCAAAATATGGATTTTGCACTGCTCTCCAGTATCACGATGAGCATTATGAACACAATGCAGCTGATCCTGCAGTTATTTTATGAGCTGAGAATCAGATGATGACTGTCGTATCTGCCTTGCTGCATGCCAGGAAAGAAACAATTTAGGGTTACTTTTGGCATTCACAGAGCAGCTGCACACAGTGGATCATCAGTTCTGGGCATGGGAAACAAGCACTGAGTGGCAGGATTGCATTGTTATGCAGGTATGGGATGATGAGCAATGACTACAGAACTTTCAGATGTGCAAAGCCACCTTCCTGGAACTGTGTGTGGAGCTCACTTCTGCCCTCTGGCACAAGGACACCGAAATGAGAGCTGCCCTAGCGGTGGAGAAGGGAGTGGCAATCGTGTGGATGCTGGCAACTCCAAACTACTACTGATCAGTTGCAAATCAGTTTGGAAGCCCACTGTGGGGGTTGTAGTGATGTAAGTGTGCAGGGCCATTAATCGTCTCCTGCTTCAAAGGACTATGATTCTGGGCAATGTGCGGGAAATAGTGGATGGTTTGTAGCAATGGGATTCTGTGATGGGATCCCCGGGGTACAACCTGAAACTGTGGGACTACTATGCCCCCTTAACTTTCCAGCCTGGGCTGTCTCTCACAGTGCTTTGCCTGTGATAAGCAGCAAACTCCACCAGGCACTGTTATCACTTAGCCACCAGCATGCAGAGGCATACCCTGCTGAGTTGCATGAATACTCTTCAAGTCACTCATGAACTACACACAGGGAAACACCAGTAAATCTCCCACATCCCCAACCTTGCATTCCAGAAATATACCATCTTACACTGCTCAAGACCTCTTGAACTGTACAAGCTTATTAATTAGTTCATTGCGTCGTTAAAGGAAGGTGGACATTCACCAGCCTTTGTAACCTGAGCAGATTTCCCAAGCACTTTAGATAAACTCACTGGTAACAATAAAGCATTAAAGTAAGCTTATTAACTACAGAAAGATAGATTTTTAAAAAAAAAGTGATTATAAATGGTAGGCATAAACATCAGAGAGGTTTACTTTTTATTTTCTCAAAGTAACTAGGCATTCTAAATCCTAAACTTTTAGACTAAGCACGAGTTGAATCAAATAGCTTTTCTCACCCTGCCGGATGTTGCAGGTAGATTATAGTTCTTAATACACAGGCTGAATTTCCTCCTCAGCCTGGGACCAGTCTCCTCAGTTCAAGTCTTTGTCTTCCCAGTGTTCTTTCAGTCCATGTCCCTGGAAAGGTCCTGGTGTGGGCATGTCCTTGCAGAGTCACAGGTTGAGCAATCCCTATTGTGTGGTGCTTACATAACTGAGTCAGAGTTGAGCAATTTTCATTGTGTGGGGCTGGTGCAACTATCTTATTGAATTGTAGATCTCTTGTTTACAATTTTCTCTGGTCAATGGTCATAACCCACTCTGCCTGGGTGCGGGTTACCTCCGTTGTTGTAACTGGAGAACTAGCACTGGATCACTCCCAAACTCACAACATAATTCAGTAACAACCATATAGCAAAATGTCATAACTTCATACACACTAATGATATGCATATCTTGATAAAATGATGGGTTTCAGCAGATCATGACCTTTCATATAGTATCTTACATGGCATGCTTTATGAAATATCATAACCATATACAAATGATGAATATGGGGGTTACAGGGTGCTACACTGTGCCTCAAAGTGTCACAGATTCCCAAGCTACAGTGAGGCAACAGATGGCATGCAGATCCCCATTTTGGCCCCACATCACCTTGCGAAGGAGTACATCAACAGAAAAGGCTACTTTTCTAGGGTATTGCAAGCTCTGGTGGGTCGCTGGGATTGTTTCACTGACAGCAAGGCAGGGTGGCCAGGGAAGGTGGATGACACATGCATCTTCAGGAACACTGGCCTGTACAGAAAGCTGCAAGCTGGGACTTTCTTTCCAGACCAAATGCCAATAGAGATCCTTGGAGGCCCAGCCTACCCCTTGCTCCTGTGGCTCATGAAGCCTTACACTGGGAACCCTGACTGCAGCAAGGAGCGCTTCAACAACAGGCTCAGAAGGTGCAGAATGACTGTTGAATGTGTCTTTGGCCAATTAAAGGGTCACTGGTGCTGCCTTTTTGGCAAGTGAGACATCAATGAGGAAAATATTCCTATGGTCATAGCAGCATGGTGTGCTCTGCATAACATTTGTGAAGCTAACAGAGAAATTTCCTCAGGGGTAGTGTGTTGACGTGGATTGGCTGACTGCTGATTTTGAGCAGCCACATACCAAGGCTGATAGAGGGGCCAATGGAGTGGGGAGGGGGGAGGATATTTGAATCAGGGAGGCTTTGAAGGAGCATTTTGACAGTAACCCCCCGTAATGTGTCTGTAATGCATTTAGCCAGGCATTGTTTTCTTGCCCCGTAGTATGAACCTTCTAATGATTGCTGTGTGCGCGTTAATTTTACACTGCAAATGCACTGATTGCCCCGTGTATGAATTTCAGTAGCAATCAGCATTTGTAGGGGAGAAATAAAGATTCCTTATCTTTCTATATGGACACTTCTATTCAATAGTGATAGACACATTACTATGTTCTGCAAGGGGTATGAAAATTAAGAGCACATTTTCAAATGAGGCTCTCACCAGGGGGATATATGTCCAGTTGTCATTGTGATACATGTCCCTTGGGGTGAGTTGCATGGGGTACTGAGACAGCTTGAGAACATGCAAGGAATGTGGAGGGTGGGAAGTGAGGAGGGCATGAAAAGCAGTTCTGTATGGGCTGCAGGGAGAGGCAAGCATGGATGTGTTCCGTCTGCAGTTCAATCAGGGACCTCAGCATGTCTGTTTGGTCCTGTAGCAGCTGTATCATCCACTCCTGCCTCTGTTTCCACTCCTGCCTCTGTTTCCACTCCTGGCTATTCATACACCATTTCTCATTGATAGCCTCTCTCCGTACTCTCTGCTCGCAATTGGAAGCATCAGAGGATTGCATCACCTCCCAGAACATGTCTTCCTTACTCCTCCTGTTTCGTCTCCTTATCTGCCAGAGCTGCTCAGCTGGTGTGCGGGAGGAGGCCATCAAGAGCACATCTGCAGAAGCTAAAGAAACAATAGACAGAGGCACTATTGTGAGTGATTCAAACAAGTTAGAAACACCACTTTCTCACTTCTCCTTGGCAGGCACACAGCACAGCGGGAGTCCCAGTTGTGAGTTCGGCCCTGGGGGGAAAGGGGTAAAATGGAACTAAGGGGAGGGAAGTTCAGAGGGGTATCACTACAATGCTTAAAACCACTATTCTGAATAGTGGCACTGTTTTCCACAGGCGGGCGTGATAGCAGCTGATATCTCACTTCTGCTTGTAACCCTTAGCAGTTATCTTTGAGAACTAATGGAGGAGTACTTGGAGAAAGGCAATCAAAGTACCTATTTTTAAAAATAAGAAGAGGACCTGAGGAATTACAGACCAGCCAATCTAACTTTAATATCTAGAAAGAAACTGGAAACAAATTATTAAACAATCAATCTGTAAGCACCTAGAGGATAATAGGGTTACAACGAATAGCTAGTATGGATTTATAGAGAAGATTCATGCCAAACCAACCTAATTTGCTTCTTTGACAGGCTTACTGGTTTAGCAGATGAGGGGGAAGTGCTAGACATGATATATCGTGATTTTAGTAAGGCTTTTGGCACAGTGATCCATGATGTTTTCATAAGCAAACTAGGGAAATCTGGTCTGGATGAAATTACTATAAAGTGAATACGTAAGTGGTTGAAAGAACATACTCAAAAGAGTAATTTCAGGAGTACCAGTCGTGTTAGTCTGTATTTGCAAAAAGAACAGGAGTACTTCTGGCACCTTAGAGACTAACAAATTGATTTGAGTATAAGCTTTTGTGGGCTACAGCCTACTTCTTCAGATGCACAGAATGGAAAGCTTATGCTCAAATAAATTTGTTAGTCTCGAAGGTGCCACAAGTACTCAAAGAGTAGTTACCCATGACTTGCTGTCAAACTGAGAATTTATCTAGTGGGGTCCTGCAAGCAACTGTCCTGGTTCCAGAAGTATTCAACATTTTCATTAATGACTTGGATAATGGAGTGGAGAGTATGCTTATAATATCTGCAGATGACACCACTGTAGGAGGGACTGCAAGCTCTTTGGTGGACTGTATTAGAATTCAAAGTGATCTTGACAAATTGGAGAATCGAAATCAGTAGGATGAAATTCAGTGAAAACAAGTGCAAAGTACTACATTTAGGGAGAAAAAATTAAATGCACAACTATAGAATGGGGACTAACTGGCTAGATGATAGGGGGGGTTGAGGGTTATAATGAATCACAAATTGAATGAGAGACAACAAAGTGATGCGATTGAGAAAAAGGATAATATGGGGGGTATATGAACAGGAGCGTCCTATGTAAGATGCTCCTCTACTTTGTCCTTCTCTTCTCAGCACTGGTGAGGCATCAGCTGGAGTACTGTGTCCAATTCTGAGTGCCACTGTTTAGGAAAGATGTGGACAAACTGGAGTGAGTCCAAAGGACCGCAACAAAAATTATAAAAGGTTTATAAAATTTGATCTAGGAGGAAAAGATTTAAAAACTTGGCATGTTTAGTCTTGAGAAAGAAGACTGAGAGCGGAACTGATAACAGTCTTCAAATTTGTTAAGGGATGTTATAAAAGAGAATGGTGGTTGATTCTTCATGTTCACTGAAGGTAGGATAAAGAGTAATGGGTATAATCTGCAGCAAGGGAGATTTAGGTTAGGTATTAGCAAACAGTTTCTAACTCTAAGGTAGTTAAACTCTTGAATAGTGTGGAAGAGGGAAATTGCAGAATCCACATCTCCTATCTCCTAGAACTGGAAGGGACCTTGAAAGGTCATCGAGTCCAGCCCCCTGCCTTCACTAGCAGGACCAAGTACTAATTTTGCCCCAGATCCCTAAGCGGCCCCCTCAAGGATTGAACTCACAACCCTGGGTTTAGCAGGCCAATGCTCAAACCACTGAGCTATCCCTCCCCCCAATTGGACATTTTAAAGAACAGGTTAGATAAATACCTGTCATGGACAACCTAGGTTTACTTGGCCTTGCCTCAGCACTGGAGAACGGCCTAGATGACCTCTTGATGCAGCCCCACATTTCTGTGATACGAGGCCACAGACATTCCCCAGAAATGACTATCATTTTTGTTGCTACCTCACAACAATTTACCCAGCCCGATAACTGTCCTTCTGGTACTCCCCTGAAAACGGGTGGGATTGGGGTTATCTTGGAACCTTGGGAAGGGTGGGACAACGAGGGAAGCAGTGGGAGGCACCTCAGGTGCTTATACAGCCTGCCCCTAAGCACCACGTAGGGGGTCACCAGGAGAGCCCTGACCCCACAGGAGTGAGTTCCTACCCAGCTGGGGGGTCGGGGCTGAGGAGAAGGCCCCACTGTCTCCATAGTCTCACTCGTTACACCCCTGCCCCATGTGGGTTGGGTACCAGGGAGCGATGGGTGCTCAGCCATTTCCACGTGCTGCACGGCTCCAGGCTAAATCACGCAGATTGTTACTGACTCCAGCGGGGCACCAGGGCCGATGGGAACGGGCCCGCAGCGCTTGCACACAGCTCCCAAGGCTGGGACGTCCGGAGGCCGTGACTACAGAGCAGGGGTGGGCAAACTTTTTGCCCGAGGGCCACATTGGGGTTGCAAAACTGTATGGAGGGAAGGCTGTGCCTCCCCAAACAGCCTGGCCCTGGCCCCGGCCCCTCCCACTTCCCACCCCCTGACTGCCCCCCTCAGAACCCCGACCCATCCAACCCCTCCCCTGACTGCCCTGCCCCCTATCCACACCCACGCCCCTGACAGGCCCCCCGGGGACACCCACGCTTATCCCCCCCGTTCCCCATCCCCTGCCTCCCCCGAACCTCTGCCCCATCTAACCGCCCCCTGTCCTCTGACTGCCCCCGGGATCCCCTACCCCTTATCCAACCTCCCAGCCCTGGCCCCCTTACCTTGCCGCTCAGAGCAGCATGTCTGGCCGCCCGGCCGGAGCCAGGAGCGCGCAGCCTTGCCGCCTAGAGCGCTGGCGGCGTGGCTGCGGGAGAGGGGCCCGGGACTAGCCTCCCCGGCCGGGAGCTCAAGACCCGGGCAGGACGGTCCCGGTCGGTAGTTTGCCCACCTCTGCTATAGAGCAAGCCACCCCGTCCCCTTGTTGCTATGTACGTCAGCACGTAGAGGCACGTCTGTCGTTGCTAGGGGAGCTCAACGTGCAGGGAGGATGACGTAGTGACGCCGCGGTGCTGAGCAGAGGAAGGGGGAGGGCGCTGCTGTCGCTCCGGCCGGTGAGTCCTGGGGGGCTGTTGCTGACCCGGCGCAGCATCAGCCGGGGTTGTTCTCTGCCCCCACCCGCCATGGGGGTGTAGAGCCCCGGCAAGGGGGGGTGACGGGGCGCGCACCTCTCCCCGAGTGTGAGGGGGGCGGGCTCCTTCCCCGCGGGGCCCGTCGCGCTCCTCCGCCCCCTGAGGGCTCACGTGCGTCCTTTTGGGGGATTTCGGGATCCCGTTCTGCGCTAGGGCCGGGTCCAGTGCTTGGGTGCCCGTGCGAAGCCCGACGTCGGGCGGCCGCTCTCTCGCGTGTCAAAGGTTGCACGCCGCGCTGGGTGTCCAGGCTGCTCCGTCCCGACCGGCCCTTGGCCGAGCCGCTGCCTCCCCTCCCCTCCCCTCCGGCCGCGGTTGACACCCACCCGCCGCCATGTCAGGGCCGGTGAATGCTGCCGGTGCAGAACAGAGACCCCGGTCCCCAGCACAGCGCTGTGAGGCGCTAATTCGTGGTCCCCAGCACTGGGGAGCACAAACGGGCCAGCTGCAGAAACCCTGGTATTGTGCGAGGGAGGGAGTGCACCTGAAATGGCTTGTAGTGGGGAGCAGGAAACAGGGGGTGGCGGAAGCAATATCCGTAGTATGACACTTGTTTTGGTGCCCCGGCAGTGCCACTATAGTTAAAGTTGTTTTATGACTTCTGTTTGACCTCTCCAAATACCCTCAAATTGACGGATTTAGCTGGATTTTTTTGGAATTTGCTGTGCTTGAGGAGAGTGCAGGGTAGCGTTAGTGACTCAAATTTTGGGGGTCAGCTGAAGTAGGGGTTGTGGCCATATAAGGCTAGAAAAAGGTAACTGTTTTTCGGAGTTTCTAAGTGGCTTTTTTTTTTGGCTTGGAGCTAGAGATGAAACTATTGATGCGATGCAGCTCAAAATGGTCTCAATCTACTGAGTTTTCCCCAAGTTAGTGCATGGTATCTACTAAGTCTGTGGGGAACCCAACTTGAGGACAGTGTGGATGCATCAATACAGAAAAATGGCACAATTTACAAGCATGGTCTGAAATCCTACAGGTTACTCATATTTCTTTGAAATTTGATGCCCCTCATGGGGGTGCAAAGTAGCATTATTAATCCAAATTTGGGATCATTTGGGCAAGGGTTACAATTGTTACAACCCCCCTCCCCTGATTTATTTTGCCTTGTACTGTTAAATCGAGAGGTACTAATGACTGAATGAATCACAGATCTCTTTGAGACTGGCTGTGAACTAACTCTTCAATTAACATAACTAAGGATAACTTCCTTTGCAGTGATGTTGTAGTTGTGTAGGTCCCAGGATATTAGAAAGACAAGGTGGGTGAGGTAATATCTTTGATTAGACCAACTTCTGTTGGTGAGAGAGACAAGCTTTTGAGCTCTTCCTCAGACTTCTGTGTAACTTGAAAGTTTGTCTCTCACCAACAGAAGTCGAGCAAATCAAAGATACTACTTCACCCACCTTGTCTAATAACAGGATAAGTTAATCACAAGTCCCCATGTAAGGTAAAAGGAGTGTATGGGTTAAGTGGTTGAAGGTTGGTGTAACTTGTGAGTGGTATAATTGTGGTGGCAATTTCATTTGGGGGGTATAATCAAAGTCTTTAGGAGGAAAAAAATAGCCACGAATGCTTCCTGGGAGGGGTATTAGGGGATGGAGGAGTGAGGGAATAGGGGAAAAGAGGTTTGGATCTCTAGCAAATGGAGGGGGCTAAATAGTGGTGAGTAGTAGAGGAGCAGTGAGGGAGGCTTGGGGATTATGGGATTTGGAGGGATGGAATACTGGGAAGGGGGACATGGGGATGAGTGTCAGCAGGATTGGTGTAGAATAGAGGCTGGGGTACCTGTCAGCCCCACATTCTCCCCTTCTGTGTTTGTGCCTATATCTGGAGAGCTCTTGCACCTCTGTGGGGGTCTGAGCCACCCTCCCTGCCCCCTCATATAAGCTGGGATATAGGGGGCTTGCTCCTCTTGGGGTGACAGAGCCCCTTTCTTTGCTGTCTGTGTATGCCAAGAGCTGCAGGGCCCATGCCCATATACAGAGGTTGGACACCCCCCTCCCTATCCTGCTCCATGTGAGCCAGTTTTGGGGGATGGGGGGAGCTTGACTTTTTGGGAGAATCTGATCTCTTTCCTGCCCCCATGTGAGCTAGGATATCGGGAAATCCTTGCTCTTTGTGTTGGGAGCTGAGAATGGGCATACTCAATGCATATCACAGGCTCTGAAACACTTAGGAGGGACATGCGAACCTATACTTTCACGAACCACTGGGATAAATGGTGTGGTTCTCATGTCTGAGGCTGTCTACACTATGCAGATTTTAGCAACACGGCTGTGCCACTGAAAGGTGTGCAGTGTAGCTGCTGTTTGTTGGCAGGAGCGAGCTCTCCTGCCGACAGAAAAATTCCACCCCCTATGAGCAGCAGCCACTTTGTGCATGCTGTTCACACTGGTGCTTTTCATAGATAAAACTTTCGTCGTTCAGGGGTGTTAAAAAAAACACCCCACCCACACGACAAAAAGTTTTGCTGACGAAGTTCCAGTGTTGACAAAGCCTGAGTTATTGGTTCAGGTTGTTTTCATCTCCATGGAGTTCTTATTCACACCTTTCAAACCCTTGTATGCTGCAGATCGATGTGTGGAGGACGACACTTCTAAGTGCTTTGGATCTGGAGCAATCAAATTTTTGAATTGTTCCGCTCTGGCACCAATAGTGACTTCTCTGGCTCCGCTCCAGCTCCGGGCAGAAACCTGCAGCTCCACTGCTCCATGCTCCAGCTCCAGGCTCCGCTCCAAAGCCCTGTTTTCATGGCTTTTTTTTTTTTCTTTAATTTGCTAGGCCTCATGGGAATACAGAGTAGGATTAGTGACCCAAATCGGAGGTCATTTGAGCCAAGGTTTCTGGAGATATAATCCCTGAATAAAATAGCTGTTTGGTTGGGGTTTTTTTTGTTTTTGTTTTTAATTCTAGGGTGGTGTTTTTTGTTTGTGCAGAGCTAGAGATCAAACTGTTGCTGTGATGTGGGTCAAAATGGTCTCAGTCAATTTTTACCTTTGGTAATGCATGGCACCTACTAAGTTTTTGGTGGCCCAAATTGTGAAGAATATTTAAGAAGAATTTCAACAGTTGGTGAAGAGCATGTATGTTTCAGCTTCTTACAACCCATTCACTCTCACAGGATTCCATCTAACACTGTTAAAGGATAAAAAGGGAGTGGGGGAGAAAGGTTGCCCGTGCCACCTTCCCTCTACTGTCTTCAAGCAGTGCCTCAGAATGCATATAGACACAAGTAGCATTAGCCCTTCGGACTAGAAAGGCTTGTCTTCACATAGGCCTTGGCTACACTTGCAGCTGTACAGCGCTGTGAGGTAAACCTGTCTTCGTACAGCTGAGTAGGGAAGAGCACTGCAGTCTGTCCACACTGACAGCTGACAGCGCAGTGGTGTGGCCACACTTGCAACATTTGCAGCTGTGTTGGGAGCGGTGCATTATGGGCAGCTATCCCAGCATTCATGTGGCTGCAACGTGCTTTTCAAAACAGGGGGGTGGGTTGGATTGTGACAGGGAGTGTGGGGGGAGAGAGTGCTTTTTGGAGAATGTCAGCTCTCTATTTTGCAAGTTCCGAACTCCAGGCCCCCTGCTCATTCATTTACTCACTCAAAGCAAGCTGCAAACTGTTTGCTTTTCTCTGTGGTACGAGCTTTGAAACCGGCACTTCTGCATTCCTGCAGCCGGTCATAACAATGGAGAGGATTGGCCACTCTGCTGCAGCTGTTATTCCTGTTATTCCTCTCGGAGATGTGGAGTACCTGCAGTGGTGTACCCAGGGAGATACAGCGCTGTAAGTGCCCTGCCAGTGTGGACGGGGAGTGAGTTACAGCGCTGGGGGAGGCTTTACAGCGCTGTAACTTGCAAGTGTAGGTCAGTATAACGACGTTGCTCAGGGATGTAGATTTTTCACACCCCTGAGTGGTGTAGTTATACCAATATAGGTGTGTAGCGTAGACCTCGTTTAAGATTCAGGATGTTCCAGATCCAGACCTCACACAGACACTTAACCAACTCCGCAGAAAGAATACCACACGTGTACAATTTAAGAACAACCTCACAGCCTTTTGCAACCTCCTTACACTTATTCACAGGATACCTTCTCAACCTACACTGTCACTATACCATCATAACATTAAAATCTTCTCATATTCCACCTCACTGCTGACAACAATTCTTGTAATAAAAACCCTATGCCTTGCTACTGACAAACCTACATAATTCTGCATTTAAAGGATGCATACTGGATCCCAAAGGTGCACATGCAGCTCTTCTCTTTGCTCATATACACTGAAGGGTACAAAACAGAGATCTCCTCAGAGCATAATCACAGCTCTGTCACACACCTCAAGATAGTCCACACATGTCCTTATATCACAAATACACCTTTACCAACAGGGCCCAACTACTGCCTTCACCCTTTAGTGAAGGTACACCTAATGCCTGACCCACTGATTGTACCTGGAGTGTATGCAAATAATTCACATTGGCTACTGTCATTTCCAGGGGACCAGAGAGGATGTGGCATGGGCAACCTTTATTTTTTTTCTTGTTAGTTTTTTGTCCTTTAAAAGTGTTAGATGGAATCTTGTGGGTGAGAGTGAATTGGTTGTAAGAGGAGGTGAAGCGCTTGTACATTTCAGCAACTATGGCACTGGCAGAGCAAAGATGTGTGTGTTAACGAGACCTACTGGGGCATTGCTGCAAGAAGGAAGAGTTAAGGTTCCATGGGCAGCCTTAACTGTGCATTTCCTTGGTTTCAGAAATTTGAGTTTTGCTCAGCTGAGCATTTCTGCAGGGGGACAACATAAGAATGGCCATAATGGGTCAGACCCATGGTCCAACTAGCCTAATATCCGGTCTTCCTACAGTAGCTAATGCCAGGTGCTTCAGAGAGAATGAACAGAACAGGCAATCATTGAGTGATCCATCCC